GTTACTTTCTTGTTCTAACACAAACAGGCATCAACGGCGAAGAATGCACCATTACCTTCGTCGACACCTACTCTCGCTTCGTCTGGATGGCCAATGTCTCTCACAGGAGCAAGGCGTTTGACATCTTCAAAGTCTGGCACAGCAATGCCGAGACTCAGTCCGACTGCAAGCTCAAGCTTTGGCAAACCGATTGCGCGACCGAGTTCAAGAGCGACGGGCTTGCGGCATACATTCAGGAATTGGGGATTATAAACAAGCTCTCTCTCCCCTACGCGCACCCGCAACAAGGCGTCGCTGAGCGGACCAACCGCACCCTGATGTCCAAGGTTCGCACCTTCCTACAGCAGAGCGACGTTGACGCGAAGTACTGGCCCTTTGCCATGCATCACGCTGTCCGTCTTCACAACCTGCTCAGCACCACCGCCAACACTGGACATCTGTCGCCGCACATCAAATTCACCGGCGAGAAAGGAGATATCTCCATGCTCCGCGTCTGGGGCTGCATGGTGCAGTATCGGCCCGCAACAGTGAACACAGGGAAGTTAGAGCGTCGCGCGCGCTGGGGGGTGCATCTCGGCATCAGCTTCGAGCATCATGCCTAGAACATCCTCGACCACGATACCTCGCGGGTGGTCACGGCGCGCGACGTCATCTTCTACGAAGACCTCACCATCCGGGAGTTTCAGCAAGCTACACCGACGGACTCAGGGTCGGCGGGAGGACTGATCGCGTGGCAAGCTACGATCGCCCTCCCCGCAGCTTCGCCACCCCCGCTGACAAAGTCGAAGCCACGCTCGCAGATCAAGGCCCCACAGACCACCACCCAAGACCATGCCCATGGGACAATGAGGACGAGGACGAGGGCATTGCACCTCTCGACTCCTCTCGCGACTCCCTGCTCAGCCCAGCCCCCTCCACAGCGCACGACTCGGGTGACGATGTGGTGGAAGTCATCAGCGAGTAGCAGCACAGCCCCGGCCTCTCCGGTCTCCACATCCTCGGCCTCCACACTGCCGTCTCCCGTCCGCCAAAGGCAGTGGAACCCAAAACCCCGCGCCAGGCCCTAACAGGTCCCTACAGCAAGGAATGGCGCACGGCCATGGATGCTGAAGTCGCCGCGCTCGAAGCTCGCGAGACATGGATTCCCGCAGACCGTGCCGTGCTGAAGGGGAGACGTGTACTTTCGCGCAAGTGGGTCTTCTGCGTCAAAACCGTCGCTGACGGAACCATCGAGCGCTTCAAAGCCCGCTGGGTCATGCGTGGTTTCGACCAACGCCACGGGATTGATTTCGACCAAACCATCGCTCAAGTCAGCCGCCATACCTCCGTCCGCATCCTCCTCGCCATCGCAGCCGCAAAGCACCTCCCGCTCCGCCAGATCGACGTCAAGAACGCCTTCCTCTACGTGCCCGTCGACGCCCTCATTTTCGCCGAACAGCCGCACACCTATGGCGAAGGCGATGATCCCGTGTGTCAACTTAAGAAGTCACTATACGGCATCAACCATGCCCCGGATCTCTGGCAGCAATACCTTCACCAAATTCTCATCGACATTGGCTTCACCCAGCTGCCCCACAATCCCGGCATGTATCGCCTTCACTTCCGCGACGACTATATCCTCCTCACGGCATATGTGGACGACCTCCTGTACACCAGAACCAACAACGAGCTTCTCGCTCAGTTCCAGAAGAACCTCAGCAACCGCGTCGAAATCACCAGCACTGATCATGTCACACAATTCCTGGGACTCAACATCTCCTACGCAGCAGACGCCATTCATCGCTCCGCCGCCAAGTACGTTGAGACTGTGTCTGCAAAATTCAACATCATACCGGCAAACCTCTCCACCCCTTACCGCTCCCCAACCAACCCACAAACTCCCAACACCACCCCGCTCAACCTATCCGGCCACCAACTGTACCAGCAACAACTCGGCTGCCTTCTCTTCGCTGCGGTAACATGCAGGCCTGACTTACCTTACATCTCGAGCCAGCTCGCTCAGTACGCCAAGCGGCCTGAAGGGGGGAATATGCTGGACCTGCAGCGCGCTCTGCAATACTTCATCTCCACACCACACATTGGCCTCACCTACTCAACTCTCACGACCTGCGCCTTCAGCCTCGTTGACTACGTGGATGCTGACCATGCCGCCGATCCTGCAAATCAACGGTCCCGAACCGGTTTTCTGTTCAGCCTCGAACCCACCAGACCAATCTCATGGAATTCACAGAAGCAGGAAATGGTGGCGCTCTCTTCTGGTGAGGCCGAGTTCATTGCAGCCACGTCAGCTGTTCGCGAAGGACTTTACCTCCAGGAGCTGCTCCAGGAGGCGAAAATTGCGACATTTGCGAACTTCAAACTTCACTGCGATAACCAAAGCGCGATCAAGATCGCCAACAAACCCGGCTTCGCCAACCGCACCAGGCACATCGCACCCCGCTATTTCTTCGTCGAAGACGAAGTTGACAAGGGTAAAGTAACATTGACTTACTGCCCCACCAGTGACATAGCAGCCGACTTCCTCACCAAGAAGCTACCACGTGAGCAGTACCAGCACTGCGCGAACATCTGCGGTATAACCAAGCGCGTCAAGACTTCGCTCCTACATGATTGAAAGGGAGTGTTACGGTATGGAATTGTTGAAAAAAAATCCTAACGTAACGAACCCTTAACGCGAAGATGACTGCAGCGAGGACGAAGACCGAGCGACACAAACAGTTATCGAAGACGGTTGAAAACAGAATGAATTCGAAGTGCAAGCGCAGGAAATGCATTCAAACAGTTACCGTGGCGCGTATCGTTACCGAACCGCACGGTTGGCATTCCCGATGTAGGTTAGCCCTAAGGGGAATGTACCCTCTCATAGTACATGGCTAGCTAGGACCTTTCGTATTCCCATTGTACCGCATTGTAATAGTCACTATGTCGAGATTAAAATCTCCTTCTGACAGGGTATGTACCCAACTTCACTAGCAATCTTCCGCTGCTACACTACGTGCGATCAACCTGAGACGATCCTAACCATAATTTCAGATTGTAACACATCATGGTGTACCCGAATTGAACCGAAGGTTGGCCTGTGAGGTGCACCCTGAGTTTACTCGTTCTCATGTTACGAGTAAATTAGCATACGGTATTTAATTCCGAAGCCATTTCAGAACAACCATCATGATAACATAGTGCCTAAAGGCATAGTGCACCCCTCCCATAACAATGATGTGTCATTACAATAACATGCTATATAGAATCAAAACTTCAAAGCAGTCCTAGAAAATAAAGGGCTCATCTTTCGTGGACATTGAGAATGCCAGGCCCGTTCTATGCCGACTCTTCTGGGGACACAATGTCGCGTCGGGATTACTGACACAATCACTGACGCCTGCTTTGGGTTGAAATGTCCGTGTCAAAATGGCCGTGATGTATGGGCCCTTGGATTGGATTCAGCAATGCTGCATTGGTCGGCCGAACTCACGTGGCCCAGCTGCTGACCTGGCCTGCTCTTTGGTGCCACCAGTTACAATCCGCCTACGTGTCTACGCGTGATGCGGTGACGCAAGTGGCGGAGAATGAAAAGGCCAGGTGGGTGTCGCTTACCCAATAAAGGGCTCTCCTGAAATCACGTGCCTTAATGAAATAAAGAATCCTCATGCACGCGTACACGTCAGTTCAGGATGGGGGGTGAACGGTCACCGACAATCGTCTGCCCGGATCTATGTTTGGCTTCCGTTTTGTTCAACTGCGGGCAGACCTCTCTGCAAGGAATGCGTGCATGCAATGCCTGAGGGCTGCCTGACCTCCTGAAAAGGCAACCAGCAACATGTGATCGCGTCGCTCGGAACATCCAACCGTAACTCAGAACATCAAATCATGACCCTCCGATACAAGCTGGAAGTTCCCTCAATCTGCCCGTCCGTCCGATCAGCCTTTTCCAGCCCACAACCTCCTCCGCGCTGGCCAGTTACAATACAGGACCTCAAGGCTCCTCCCCTCATTATCTTGCTACTGATTCCAGACAATTCCCAAGGGTTTTATCCTGGGCTGGAGAGATGTGCTGCTTCCAAAGGCTGGCAAGTTCTCCCAAGGCTGAATAACCTGAGCTATCCAAGAGGGCTTTTCTTCTTCCATCATCTCCTCCAGGGCAACTTCATGCTTGCCATCTCCCTCTTCTCTTCGGTTTCGTGAAATGCTCGGCTCATTCTACGTCAGGGTTTTGAATCATACCTGTGAGGTTACGAGAATATGCAGAAGGTTTTGTGAAGACTAGTCATACCTCCAATGCCGAAACACTTCAGATGGGACACCCTCACAACGGCCTACAGATTGTAGAGCATTCTTTCCGCAGCGTAGCATTGTAACTTCGTAGTGTGAAGGGGTGGACTTGCTCCAGATTCCTCTCATAGTCATCATCCCTAATTCTGGCTGCTCTGGCTACTTTCACTTCCGTGTAAGGTGAAGCTTAGGTTTGAACGTTTCCCTGCATTCTCCTGATCCTGTTCGTCTCACCGAGTAAAAGCAAGCTCGGATTATTTTTTGGTTTGGTTTTGCCTTGAGTATAGCAATCCCAATAGAAATGTTCTCTCAGTGCCTTTTTTTGGCTCCTCACGTTGGAAAAAAAATTGTTTGTTTCAGGACTTCATAAAGACATGATTCGGACAAAATGTTCGTTATACCTAACGAGGGTGGTGGAGTTCCGGGTCTTGTAAATACGAGTCGGGCAGACGCCTGCCGTCAAGCTGCACAATTGTCCGAATTTCAGGTAATTGACTTGCCGTATAGACCTACATCTCACTCGTGCTGCATGCTGCTTCCGCGGATTCTGCTCCTTGCGTTCCATATCTAGCTCCGCATTTGTTCCCGCATTCTGTTCGCTCGCGTTCCCACAATATTTTTCCCAGTGCCGACCTCGTTCCAAACTGCATTTCGACGTCCTTATCTGTCCGCTCGTTCCGCAGGTTCCGAAGCCACAGGAGTTCGTCTCGTCTCCCGGTCGTACCTTAGCAATGGCATCAGGGCAATCAAGGACAAACGCAGACACCTTAGAAGACCAGCTTAGCGCTCTAGAGCACCGCTCGTTCACCTCCGTATACCCCATGGCCGACGGAAGCCGTACTTGGCATGGCGGAAACCTCTTTTACACCCTCCAGGCTCAAAACGCTCTCCAAGCTCAAAACTCTCGCCAGTCTCAGAATGTCGGGTCTAGGACGGGCTCCGTTGACGACATAGCTGTTCCGGCTGCTGCGTATCGTAACTATCGCCAGCAGCACGGAGGGGAAATCGGAGAGCAATTGTTGACCGCGCGTTTGAATGGTACTTTCGGCGGTCACCAGAATCAGGCGGTGTTATCGGGTCAGGCCGGCGGATTTAACGGTGGATGGTCAGACGGGAAGAACGGTGGCGGTACGCAAACAGAGGCGTTCTTCCAGGCGACTCCTTACGATAGCGCAACGGCTTCAGGGTTGCTCGACAGTAGGCTCGAAGTTCCCCATTTGCAGCACAACCGCAGGAACGGCGGCTTGTCAGCGGGTTTCTCGGCACGAGAAGGCCCGGGGTTTGCGCTGCAGGGAGCCGGCGAAACCCCGATGGAAGGGGTGGAAAGGGCCTCTTCCGCCGCTGCCGCTGCTGCTGTCGCGGGCGGTGAATGGAACGGGCAAAACGAAGGGATACTTCAGGGTCAAACCTCCGCTGGACTCGCTTTTCAGCAGCACGGATCCCTCGCGGCTGGCGACCGTCGGTACACGGACAGGATTTCTCCTAACGCTATGAACCATGCACTGCGATCGCCGTCGCAGCAAAGACTCCACTTTCAGGGGCTACAGGCGCCCGGGCAGACTCGGCTCGCGGCTTTCCCTCACCGGTTATCCCCTCCAGCTGTTGCGTCTCCCCTCGGCTCGCCGGGCTGGCAGCACCGGGGGAACGACAGCCCGTCGTCTGGTAACCAGTCCGCCGGCTTTTCGTCTGGCAAGTCAGCCGCAGGGTCCGGCAGCACGGCGTGTGGATCGCGATCGTCGCTGCCGCCGCGGCTGGACGACGCGGACCTCACTAGCGTTCTGTGGGAGAGCCGGTCCAGGTGCAATGTATCTGGCGCTGGCGCTGGCGCTGGTGCTGCGAGTGCATTGGGAGGGTTTCAGGGCGATGGGAGTGCGCATGGTGGTCAAGTAGGTCGATCAGACGGCAGCGTGCACGGCGGTCAATTGGGTCAGCTAGACGGCAGCGTGCACGGCGGTCAATTTATTCAACTAGATGGCAGCATTTACGGCGGTCAAATCAGTCAACGAGACGGCAGCGCGCACGGCAATCAAACTAGCCAACGGGACGGCAGCATGCACGGTGGTCAATTTAGTCAACGAAAAGGCAGCGTGCACGGTGGTCAAATTAGTCAACGGGACGGCAGCGTGCATGGTGGTCAAATTAGTCAACGGGACGGCAGCCTGCACGGTGGTCAAATTAGTCAACGGGACGGCAGCCTGCACGGCGTTCAAAATAGTCAACGAGACGGCAGCATGCAAGGCGGTCAGGCGATTCTTAGGGAGGGAAGTCTTTATGGCGGTCAAATGAGTCAACTGGACGGCAGCACGCATGGTGGGCGTCAGCTGAGTCATTTAGGCGGCAGCGCGCATGGTGGTCAACTGTCTCAACCGGACGGCAGTGTGCATGGCGGTCAACTGTCTCAACCGGACGGTAGTGTGCGTGGCGGTCAAGTGAGTCAACGAGGCGGCAGCGTGCCTGGCGACACCGTTCCTGCATACACCGACAGCCAAGCACGCAGCGACCACTTAGCCCGCCTTCGCGCTAGCAGCAGCGTGCACGGAGGCGGTTTCTACGCCAGCGGCCTTGCATCGGGTGGTCTCTACGGCAGTGCGCTTCATTACCCCAAGTCCGGTGCCCACAGCGTACGGGGCAGCGCCCAAGGCAGCGCACGGGTCAGCGCGCAAGGCAGCGCGCACGGGAGCAATGAAGCCAAAACGGGCGTCCACGGTTTTGGGGACAGTGCCCAAAGATGCATTCCGCCCCGCGCTAGTACCGTTCACGGTGGTAACCTGTACTCCGCGAGCTTGCACGCATCTCACAGTTATGACGGCCGGGATTTCCACGTCAACGGCCGTCAGCAGAGCAATCAGCAGGACGGCCAGCAGGAAAGGTCGAACGCGATGGAGGGCTTGCATGGGAAGGCGAGTGCCTTTAGCGGCGTGCAGGCAGGGTTCGGGAGCATGCACCAAGCGGGTGGGAGTGTGTATCAGGGCGATGGGAGCGTGCATCGAACGGATGGGAGCGTGCTTCGAACGGATGGGAGCGTGCATCAGGGAGATGGGAGCGTGCACAGCGTGGGCGTGGGCGCCAGCGCTGGCGTCCTCGCCAAGCTGCGGCTGGAAGGCGGGGATCGGTTGAATGCGGTGCCAGGGAGTACGGAGGGCGCTGTGCGTGGTGGCGGCCTTTTTGGGAGTGTCTTTGGCCCAGGGTTTAGCCCTGGGGCGGGCTTTTCCAGGGGAGGGTTTTCTGTGGCAGGCGTTTCAGGGACGGGCGTTTCTGGGATTGGGTCTTGCGAGGCTAACGAGGGTTTTGGGGGAAGTGGGTGGGAGCGAGGGCTTGGCGCTGCTGCTGCTTCTGGTCCTGCTGGCGCTGCTGCTGGTGCTGCTGGTGCTGTGGGTGCTGGTGGGTTCGACAGCCGTTCAGATCTGGAAAAGGCGTTCACGTCAATCCATGGGCGTGGGCAAGAGCAAGTACTTGACAGCAGCTTAACCACAAACACGGGCTTAGTAGGAGCGAATAGCAGCGTGAAGGCGGAAGCGCATGCGACCATCGGAGAGGACCTAGACTCGGAGAGAAACAGGGGCATGGGGAAAGGTGGGGATGCGGAAGATGCGAAGGGCATGGAAGGAATGGAGGGAGCAGCGGACAGGCTAAAAGCTGACGCGGTAGCAGCAGACGCGATAACAGCAGACGCGGTAACAGCAGTTGCCGGGGACATGGGGTTTGATGCCCTGGCGGAGTATTTAAACTTCCCTGACGATGACCCCCCGTGGTCCAGTCTTCCGGGCTGGGACGAGCTGATGCTGGGGGGTAGTGGAGGGGCGGACGCAGGGGGAGGATTGATAGGGGATGGAGTGGCTGGAGGGGAAGGAGGATGGAGTGGAGAAGGAGCAGGAGCGAAGGACGGAGCGGGAGGAGGGGCATGGGCAGGGGGAGGTCTGGAAGGAGGCTCGGCTGCAGATGCTGGAATGCTTGCTGGTACGGCAGGAGGAAGTACGAATATGGAGGGAACAGAGGATGACGTCATGTGCCGCGGGCACTTGGCACTGACTGCTGACGTGTGTGTGCGTGGGGGCATGCTCATGTCTCTACTGGCTGACGTCACACGGCTTGGAGGAGGGGGCAGTGGAGGAGAGGGAGGGGCGGGGCAGGCAGGGGCAGGGGGTTTTGATAGCTTGGATGGGGAGGGGCGGTTTGAAAGGGAAGCGGTTTCTGCTTCTGCAGATAGCAGCGGTGCTACAACCGGCAGTGCTGATGCGTCAGCTAGCGCTGACGCTACAGCTAGTGCTGACGCGACTGCCAGTGGTGACGTGGACAGCGCTGACGTCAGCGCTGGGGATGATGTCAGGGGTCCATTGGCTCATCAGCAGGGAGAGTGCATTAGGGAAATGTACATGGGGGGCGGAATGTGGACGCATGACGGTGGGGCGTCAGGGCATAACGATGTGTACAGTCATCAACACGCCCAGGGCTTTGCAGGCCGTAGGCACAACGACGGCCACAGCCATAGTCACAGCCACAGTCCCAGTGACAGACACACCAGTCAGAAGCAAATGGAGCGGTTACAGGCTGAGATAGATGTCGCAGCAGGGCTCGGAGTGGGGTTGGAGGGGGGTCCAGCGGAAATTGCACCTTCCAGTGCAGATTTACTGAGAGAGGGTTTAGGGTTTGACGCTGCGGATATGGACTTTGAGTTGCTGGCAGCTTGGGGGAACCCTCCTGGAGTGAGGGTTCCAGGAAGTTTCGGTGCGGTGCAGAGCTGTGACAGTGAAGTTTTGCGTGTGAATGGTAGGCAGCAGCAGTTGCAGCAGCAGCTGCAGTGGCAGCAGCAGCAGCAGCTTCGTTTGAGTGGCAATGACGTTCCTGTCTCTGCTGGCTATCTAGCCCTTGACGAATTAGACCAGTCAGACCTCCTCTTGCTGCTTGAGCAACAGCAACAGCAGCAACAGCAGCAACAGCAGCAGGAGCAGCAACAGCAGCAACAGCAGCAGCAGCAAGAGCAGCAGCAGCAGCAGCAGCAGCAGCAGCAGCAGCAGCAGCAGCAGCAGCAGCAGCAGCAGCAGCAGCAGCAGCAGCAGCAGCAGCAGCAGCAGCAGCAGCAGCAGCAGCAGCAGCAGCAGCAGCAGCAGCAGCAGCAGCAGCAGCAGCAGCAGCAGCAGGAGCAGCAACAGCAGCAACAGCAGCAGCAGCAACAGCAGCAGCAGCAGCAGCAGCAGCAGCAGCAGCAGCAGCGGATGGTAGGTCAGATGGGGGGGCAGATGGGGGGGCAGACGGGAGGGCAGATGGGAGGGCAAATAGGGGGACAGGTGGGGAGACAGGTGGGAGGCCAGATGGTGGGGCAGATGGGAGGGCAAATGAGATCAGCTCCCAAGCTTCCATCCACTGTGCTTCTCCCTGCCTGCATGCAAAGCAATCCAGACGCCACTGCCACTGCCACTGCAACTTCCTCTGCCACTGCCGTTGCCGCTGCCACTGCCGCTGCCACTGCCACTGCCACTGCCAATGCCCATGCCCATGCCCATGCCAGTGGTCCTTTCTCCCCATCCTCCACCAACCAATCACAAGCAGCCTCTCCGGCCTGCTTCTCCCCCGCCTCTGCTACATCTGCTGCTGCTCGAGCTACAACCCAGGAACTTGGTGTAACCGCACCTACTGCTAAAGCCACTCCTTCTCATTCCCCTCAGATTTTCGCTCGTTCATCCAGTCTCCCCCAATCCGGGGCATTGCTTCAGAACAATGATAATAAGGTAGCAGCAGCTACAGCAGTTGCAGCAGCCACAGCAGAAGCTACAGCTGCTGCTGAAAAGAGAAGCGAGGCAGTACAGGGGGTGGGCGGAGGAGGCGGAGCAGGCGGAGGGGGGAGCGGAGTGGGAGGGGGTAGCAGCTGCAGCTCTGGCAAAAGCAGCCGAAAATCCAGCCCAGGCCTCCGCACAGGAAGCAAAAAGGCAACAGGAAAGGCAGCGGGAATGGGCTTGGGGGTGAATATGGGCATGGGGGCAGGCACAGGGATGGGTATGGGGGGTATAGCCAAACCAGGTCCCCACAATGGAGGGGTCTCAGTTCACTCTAACCGTGGTTACTACTGCACGGGAGGGAGGGGTTGCACAGGCGGCCCCTCCTGCCACCACAACCATGTGCCTCCTGCCCTTTTCATGATGGCTGCTGCTGCTGCAGCCGGCACGGGGATGATACCCATGGGTGCCGTGGGTGCGTACAGGCAGCAGCTGCAGCTGCAGGGGAGGCTGGTGAAGCGGGTAGAGCCTCCTGTAAAGAGGAAGCGGGGCAGGCAGAAGAAGGTTCCTTCTAAGAATGGGCCGTGTGGGGCGACGACGAATCTAAGAGCGCTGGTTCCTAGGTCTGGGGCAGGAGGAGCGGGAGGAGAGGGGGCAGGAGCAGGAGCAGAAGCAAGGGCAGGGGGAGGGAGAGGGGGAGGGGGAGTGGCAGCAGGTGTGGGGATGCAAGCAGCGGCAGCAATGTCAGGACCAGCACCGATGCAATTTATACAGACGCTTCCTCCCGGCCCACCTACCTTATTCCCGCACCAGTTGATACCTGCTCCTGCTCCTTCCCACCTGCCATCCAACTCAACAGGTGTATCTGCAGGTGCTGCAACAGTGCCCATGTTCTGGGGGCCTGTGGCATGGATACACCCCTCTGCTGCTGGTGCCGCTGGCGGCCCCTCGCCTATGCATGTGTCTGGTGGTCATGGCATGCCATTGCCTCTGCACATGCACCAGACATTGATGGGAGGCATGGGAGGGATGGGGGTTATGGGGGGTATAAGCGGGATGGGAAATATGGGGGGAGTTGGAGGTGGTACCATTGAAGGAGGGATGATGGTGGAAGGAGGGGGAGGAGGGCATGGGGTACCGGGGATGGTAAGTGAGGGGAGGGTGCGTGGAGGTCTGATTGCAAGTGGAGTGCGGCAACCAGATGGGACGTCATGATGAGGTTGATGTTTATAAATAGTGTGGTCCACTAATTATGCTTGCTGGAAAATTGTACCTTCAAAACTGGGGCATGACTAATGTATGATACATGCCAGCCTGAACAATCAGATGTGATATTAGATGTTGCACGCTTTACAAGAGGGTCTCCATTCGTGTTTATAACAGTCGGCTATTTAGGGCACTACTCCAGGCGCATCACTTAGGGCGGGTCATACTCGTCACAATTTGGGAAATCACAAAAACGACCACAGTTCAAAAAACAAACACCCAATCGTGCGATTTCATGAGCAGTGTCCATTTGGTGCTCAGAAAAAACACCCTTTCGCGGCAACAAAACGGGTGCAGAGGACATATTATGCACGAAAAGGCTGCTTTCGCGAAGGGTAACCAGGAAATGTTGAGACTAGAGGTTGGTTAGTATATTTTAAGGGGAAAGGCGAGAGGGATCAGGCGCTTGCGAAAACTCTCATATCGTGCGTGTCAACTGGCGAGGGTGTAGCAGCTTCGGCAGTGGAACAATGCGAAATCATTACAAATTTTTTACGTGCAGTTACTATGATGTCGCACGTTCCTGCGAGTTCCTGCGCGGCGAACTCTCACGTCATGATACATTCAGTTCAACTTTTAATGCGGTTACCTTGCAAAAAAAGGTTACACCCGCCAAAATTGACCTGACCTGTGATAGTATGATCCGCCCTTACGGGCATATACGGTGTCAATCTCAAAATACTGAACGAGAATGGTTGAATTGAGATAGAACTGAGTACAAGTACTAACCCTAATTGGGTTGTACCCCTTATGGGCTACCCCACTACAGCCTACACAATATTAGCTGTCAGATTTATATGACATAGCTACTGTAGGCTATAGTGGGGTAGCACATATGGGGTACAGTTTTCTAGGGTTTGCATTTTGTACCCAACTTTCCCTTAGTCAATTCATTCTCGTTCAGTTTCTCATGGTATCGAGCAGGTTCCCCTGTGGGAACTGTTCCTAGGGCCCACCACATTTTTTTTCCTGCCCGGAGCGCGCTCTCCACTGCCCGAGTCGCGCTCCCCTCTCTCGACCCTGTCGCGCCGCCTTAGCGGCCCCGTCGCGTCGCGCTTGCGGCCCCGTCGCGTCGCCCTCGCGGCCCCTTCACGTCGCGCCGCCCTAGCGGCCGCGTCGCGCCGCCCTCGCGGCCCCGATCCGCCGCCCTCGCGGCTCCTTCGTGTCGCGCCGCCCTCGCGGCCCTTTCACGCCGCCCTCGCGGCCCTTTCTAGCCGCCCTCGCGGCCCTTTCTAGCCGCCCTCGCGGCCTCTTCAAGCCGCCCTCGCGACCCCCCCCCTCCTAGCCGCCCTCGCGGCCCCGTCGCCTACCCCTGCGGCCCCGGCGCCGCCCTTCCCTGCCTCGGCGCCGCCTCTGCTGGCCCCGTCGCCTACCCCTGCGGCCCCGGAGCTGTCCTTCCCGGCCCCGGCACCGCCTCTACTGGCCCCGACGCCGCTCCACCCGGCCTCGCCGCCGCTCCACCCGGCCCCGCCGCCGTCCCCACGCGGCCCCGCCGTCACCACCGAGCCGCCGGCGCCGCCGAGCTACTGCCGAGCCGCCCGATCCACCCGAGCCGCCCGAGCCGCCGCGCCACCTGAGCCGCCCGAGCCACCGGGTTGCCGAGCCGCCGAGCTGCAGTTGCTGCCGAACCGCCGTACCGCCGAGCCGCCCGAGCCGCCCGAGTCGCCGAGTCGCCGAGCCGTAGTTGCTGCCGAGCCGCCGTACCGCCGAGCCGCCCGAGCCGCCCGAGCCGCCGAGTTGCCGACCCGCCGAGCCGCCCGAGCCGCCCTGACCGGTAAGAGCAGCGCCTCTGTCACTGCACTGCCCTTACCCTACTGTTCGCGCTGCTAGTCCACTGCTGTCATGGCTACCCCTAGTGTCCTCGCTTTTGACGCTGAGGGTCGGGCCATTGACTTTGACGTCTGGGTAGATGACCTGCAGCTTTTCCTACAGTGCGATAGGGCAGACGGTCTCTCCCCCTCTTTGACGTCACCTCTGGTGCCTCTCCTGCCCCTGCTGCTGATGCCGACGCCACTGTTCGCTCACTGTGGGCCACACGCGATGCTGCTGCACGTCTTGCTGTGCGTCGCCACCTGCCTACCTCTGAGCGTGCGCACTTTAGCCAGTACAAGAGTGCTCACACCTTGTACGACGCTGTAGTTGCGCGCTACTCCTCCCCTGCCACTGCTGCACTGAGCCGCCTCATGCTACCGTACCTCTTCCCTGACCTTGCTGCCTTTCCCACAGTCGCTGACCTCATTACGCACCTCCGCACTAGTGACACTCGCTACCGCGCTGCGCTTCCTGCTGAATTCTGCGCCAAGAACCCCCCCCCCCATGTACATCACCCTCTACTACATAGTCACCCGGCTCCCTGACTCCCTTCGCGTAGTCAGGGACCACTTCCTCTCAGTTTGCCCCACCACTCTCACCGTTGACCTCCTCGAGAAGGCCCTCCTAGCAGCAGAGAAGAGCATAGTCGCTGTAGGAGCCTCTCGTGGTGACCCTCGCACCCCCGTCTTTGAGGGGTGTTCCCCCTCCCCCCTTTTGCCCTCTGTTGCCTCTGCTGCTGCGGCCGACCTCGTTGGTTTCGAGTCGGTCGGCGCTGCGTCTGCCCCGAGCGGGAGACGCCGCACCGGCAAGGGCAAGGGGGGCAAGGGTGCTGGAGGGGTTGGCGGGGGTGGCGGAGGTGGCGATGGAGGCAGTGGAGGGGGTGGGGGTGGTGGTGGGAGTGGTGGCGGGGGTGGAGGTGTCGGTGGCGGCAGTGGAGGCGGAGGCGGCGGCGGCGGTGGCGGTGGGAGCGGAGGTGGCGGAGGTGGCGGCGGTGGAGGAGGCGGCGGCGGAGGAGGTGGAGCTGGTCGGGGTGGCGCTGCGCAGAGGGTCGGCTCCGGTGGTGGTCAGCGCCAGCAGCAGCAGCAGCAGCGGCAGCAGCGCACTCGTGACATCCCCCCCCCTCAGCAGCTCCGTGAGTGGTACGCTGCACGCCAGCGGGGTGGGGGTACTGGTCCGTGCACCTACGTCCTACGCACCGGCGACCGCGCGGGTGAGCAGTGCGGGGGTGTGCACTCCACCCAGCGCTGCTTTGGCCGCCTGACGGACGCTTGGTGTCACCAGTTCCCTGAGGCCACTGAGATCCCCCGCTGGGGCGAGCTGTCTAGGGCGGGTGTAGCTGTCTTTGACCTTGACTTTGATGCTATTCTTGCTGCCATGTATGCTGTGACTATTAGTGATGAGGGTGACTGTTACCGGTGTTTTCCGCCCGACCCGGGCATTGAGACTGCTGCTCTAGGTACTGGTGAGGCTGCTGCTCTAGGTGCTAGCGAGGCTGCTGCTCTAGGTGCTCGTGTGTCTGCTCCCTCAGGTGCTGGTGAGTCTGCTCTCTCAGGTACTGCGTCGGCTTCGGCCTCCCACACCTTCACCCTTGACTCGGGGGCTTCTCGCTCCTTCTTTCGAGACCGCACCACACTCACGCCGCTTGGCCGGCCAGTTGCAGTCTCTCTGGCAGACCCCTCTGGGGGTCCTGTCCTTGCTCACTTCTCCACTGTCCTCCCGTGTCCGGCGGCCCCCTCTGGCACCCTGTCTGGTCTTTACCTCCCCTCGTTCTCTACGAACTTGGTGAGTGGTGCTGACCTACAGGATGCGGGGGTTCACCAGTTCACTCCTGCGAGTCAGCGGGTGACCCACTGCACGGACGCTCGGACAGGCCGACACCTGGCCACGTTTACACGTCGGCCGGGGTCGAGCCTGTACACACTGACCACTGCGTCTCCTCCAGTCACTGCGTCTGGTCAGGTAGCTGCGTCGGGTCAGGTGTTTGCTGCAGCGTCCAGGTCTGGTCCTGAGTCTGCCCCCTGTTCGTGTCGCCTCCTGTCGCACGAGACTCTCCTCTGGCACCACCGCCTTGGTCACCCCTCCCTGATTCGTCTCCGAGGCATGGCCTCCCGTGTCCTTGTCTCTGGTCTTCCCCGGTCCCTCCCTCCCCTTCCTCCGGGGCCAGGCCCTACCTGCGTCCCTTGTGTCGAGGGGCGGCAGCGGGCTGCCCCTCACTCCTCCCAGTTTCCTCCGACAGAGGCCCCGCTGCAAACGCTTCACATGGACGTGTGGGGCCCGGCCCGCGTCCGTGGACAGGGTCACGAGCGCTACTTCCTGCTGGTGGTTGACGACTACTCGCGTTACACCACAGTCTTCCGCTTGCGCAGCAAGGGTGATGTCACTGAGGTGTTGATCGACTGGATCCGCGCAGCTCGTCTCCAGCTCAGGCAGAGGTTCGGCTCGGACTTTCCTGTTCTGCGTCTGCACTCTGACAGAGGTGGAGAGTTCTCCTCTGGCCTTCTGCGAGCCTACTGTCGTGCACAAGGCATCCGCCAGACCTTCACGCTTCCGGACTCTCCACAGCAAAATGGGATTGCTGAGCGCCGCATTGGCATGGTCATGGACGTCGCCCGTACGTCCATGATGCATGCGGCTGCCCCCCATTTTCTGTGGCCGTTTGCGGTTCGGTACGCGGCGCATCAGATCAACCTTCACCCCAGGGTCTCCATGCCGGAGACCTCCCCAGCTTTGCTGTGGACGGGGAAGGTTGGCGATGCGTCTGCGTTCCGTGTCTGGGGATCTCGGGCGTTTGTCCGCGACTTGTCTGCGGACAAGCTGTCCCCTCGTGCTGCTCCTTGCGTCTTCCTTGGCTTCCCCCCTGACGCGCCAGGGTGGCAGTTCTACCACCCCACCTCTCGCCGTGTTCTGTCCTCCCAGGACGTCACGTTTGACGAGTCGGTCCCCTACTACCGCCTCTTCCCCTACCGCACTCCGTCCCTCCCCCCGCCACCGCTCTTCCTTGTGCCAGGTCCCCCCCCGGTAGACCCCCTCCCCCCTCAGGGTCCTGCCCCTTCAGGTGTGTCCCAGGTAGACGCCGTCGAGCCTGTCGAGGTTACTGGTGACTCTGGTGCTGCTGAGGGTGCTGAGCCTAGGGGTGC